TCTTGTCACAGTTAAGATGGAGGAAATTTTGAGTCATCCAAGATTTTATGTCAGAGATGCAATTAGATAGAATAGAAACAGCTACATCAGTGTGAGGTTTGGTATGGATGTAGATTTGAGTATCATCAGCGTAGACACGATAGCTGAGGCCATGTGATCTTAAAAGCTGACCAAGTGGAAACATATGTCCACAACCGCCACAGGTACCTGGAAATACACCAATACACCTACACCAATAGGCTAATATGGAGCAGGGGATATCGAAGTTCAGCAAATACTGATATTTTCAGAAATACTATAGTCTCTTTTTTATGGTCGTCGTTGCATTCTTTAGCTACTTCAACTAGAGATCTTATCCAAAGTGAAGGCCAAACTTCATGGGCACTCATGCATGTCTTTTAGGAAACGGAGATCTCAGCGAGGCATAGTCGAGGAATGCAACAGTGCTACTATGACCAGCTTCACTATAGCTTCTTGGTCGCCTTTTCGCCCGTGAAATATATTACCCTGCCACTCTGTTTAGCTCGACACGCCAAATCCAAGCTGCGCTTGAGAAACTGGTATTTTTATTCACCCAAATCGAAACAATTTCAAGGACTGCGATGCAGCGCACTAACCCTCGGAAGCGATGGGTTTAAATAGCTTCTAATGGAAACCACAACGTACGAAAACGGGGCTGCACTTCATAGCGAAACGGGCACAGAGCGGTGGCGTGTACAGCAGTCGCCTCCTGATCACCACGCCGTGCGGAACAGGAAAGTCATCTGAACCACATTGCCTCTTGAATGCTAATTGTGCGTTTTTGTCGGTGTGTAGCGATCTTGCATTAGGGCTAGCGCAGTCTGCTCCGCCGTTCTCCTGCCTTGTCTGTCCAGAGCAACACCACCTCCACGCTTCAAACCGTCATTTGTACCGCTAGCGTCGTGTGGGTCCGCTTGCCTGTGGTCTTACCAATCAAAATGCCGTTTTAAAGAAATATCGGCTCGTATGCTAACCTGTACGCTCACGGGATATAATTTAGCTCCACACTACAGATCCACTGCGATCTGACCTTTGGCATATACTGTAGTAAGTGCCTCAGCGGGTCTATTTTATTTTTACTGTATGTATGTATACGGGCGGGGCTAAGAAATTCCACCTCTTTTGCTCCTGTTTGGGCCAATAGGAAGGGGAGGTTTGTTAATAATCCGGCTGGAAGTAGGCAGGCCGGTCGAGGAGAGGCGAGAGTCGGCCCAGTTCCTGAATGACGAGCACTGTGAAAAAGCTGCGCTCTCTCCCGCGAGCAGAAGAGAAGAGATTGCCAAGTCTTGTAAGTAAACGAGTGCGCTCACTTACTCATGCACAGAGCAGACATGTTGATGTACGGTGGCTTTTTTTTTTTTACCACGTGAGGCTGCACACAGAAAAGACGAGACTGTCTGTCACAGTGTCAGTTTTCTGTTTCCACCTGAGTGGGGTGGACACTTGATAGCAAAGCCAGGTGTGTTCCAGGCGAGAGGGGAGCCTCGAATATTCTCCTGTGGGCGAGACAGCGGTAGAGATGACAGGCACCAGGTGCAAAAACAAAAAGGACAGGGAAGGCATCACTCAGACGGGCCAAAGCCTGCTGTCACAGAGCGCTGCTGATTGCAGGTGCAGACCCCTGCAGCTCACTGTGATAGCACACATCCCAAGCAGAGGCAGCGGACAGCCCATGTACACAGCCGATGTTGGGTAAGATCACCATAGCAGCCGGAAGACTTGAGCACATAGCAACTGAGAACCCACTTCCCACCAAAGGCAGTGTTGCTGTCCACAGTGTGGCTGGTGAAAGAGCCTGAGAAGTGTTTTCTTTTCCAGAGGCTTTAGAGATCCAGTCCGATTGCCTTTACAGTGGGCACGTGGGCCCAGGGTGGTGGAGACTGGACGAGGGCTGACCTGCTGGCCGCTGGCCTGACCCAGTGCCCACTCTCCCGCCAGCGGCCGCCCAGGGGGGTTGGGGGGGATTCTGTCCGGCGCTGGCAGGGCTCTCCTCCCCCAGTCCAGAGGGGCTGTGTCACACGCAGACCTCCAGACAAGAGGTTGCCTTTCCAGCCGATCCTCCGTGTCCTGTCTGCATCACTGGGGCAGCAGCGCGGGCGGGGGGGGCGTGGGGGGGGCGTTGTCTGGGTGGTCGCCTGTGTCTTTCCTAAGCGCACAGCTCCGCGGACTGGAGGGGCGCTCCAACACCAGGAAGCACGTGCTGTTCCGGTCCTAGACCCGCTCGTGGACAGAATCCCAGGCAGACCCCTGGAATCCTGCTCCTGGCCCAGGTCTAGGCTGGTGGGGGGGGCGTGCTGAAGAGATTCGGCCTCTTTTTCCACCCAGACCCTGTGGCGTGATCTCCTGGGCCAGCCTGGATAGACGTGCCAAGGCTTGGATGCGCCTCTGATCACAAACGCAGAGAGCCTCAGTCCACTCCAGAGGCTCCACTCTCCGGCCAGGCAGCTGCTGCTAACCAGTTACTTGCAGTGTGTCATATGTCTGGGGCAGCACATGAGACTGATGTTTCTCCACATCAGGTTTAAGGATTGTAACCCAATTAAAACCCTTTATTTTGTATTCTTAACCCTCTGATCTTTCTAATGGGATACTGCTGCTTTCAAAATGCAGTTGTGGAACAATATCTAATTTAATCCAAAAATTAGTTTTTAAAAAAGGATTAACTTGCAACTTGTTATCCAGTGTCCGCAGGCGTTATGAATTTAATAGTGACGTACTGAAAGATAACCATGCTGAAATTGTCGCATTAAAACAGACCAAATAACCGGAGCAGGGCTGGAACAGGAGTGACAGTGAATGCGTTTCTGGTTTTAAACATAACTAACGTTTGTGTTATGACGTCATAAAACTTCGATAATAGGGTTTGGACCTAAAGAACATCATTTGCAAACGCCAGTGCCATTATTATGGTTTAAATGTGGCATGCCTTACGTTGAGGGAGAATAAAGGGCACTTCCTATCGTTTTAATCGGCGATTGTTAACATCCCTGCCATGAGGGGAATGCGCCTCTTGCTGTGTAAACGCCATCACTACCTGAACGGTACCAGCAGCGGAAGTGTGATTTGTGTGGCACTGTGAGTATTGTCAAGGAAAAGGCTGTTGTCTTTTGTCAAGGTGCTTTCGTCTTCAGTCTCGCTATTGTCCTTCTGTTTCCAACATGTCTGACCTCGGCGCTGATTGGACAACTATTGCGGAGCTGCAACTCCTGAAATTGGGAACGTATGCATTAATATAACCCATGCGTCTGTTAAAAACAACACGCACACCGTATAGGATACGTACGTATAAGACACGGAACGTAAGAAACTATTGCTCTTGCGATGTACTTGTATGCACTACCACGCTTCTTCTGTGCGGTGGGTGTTGCTTACCGAGCCCCGCTTCTGTAAAAGGCTTGAATGCGGGCGACAGTGATTTATGCTTCCTGCTTGTGAAAAAATGCACGGTCCAGATACATAAGAAAAAGATTATTAATTTTTTTTTTTAAATTCAGGTCCGTGTCGGGGCGCCGTGTGAGCGTGCGCGCAGGCCTGTCAGCGGCTGCTCTCGCGCTGCGCAAGCCCACGGGCGGGACGGCGGCACGGGGCGCCTGAGCACCGCCGCGTGCCCGTGGGCAGCAAAATGTCTGGTTTCACGGTCGGCACGGCCGCGAGAGCTGGTCCACCCCTCCCAATAAAGGCAGCGTTTAAAACGCGTCTCTCCTCCGGCTTAGGGCACGTCGTGGTGCGTTTCAATTCGTAACAGGGGCAGAGAGCGCGTCTCGCCGCCTCTAGGTGGCTGCGTGTTTTGAGGCAAGACACGGGAGGCGTTTAATGACACGGCTGTAAATGGGTGCGTGTTTTAAACCCTTTCACTCCTTCTGGGTTTATCTCACGGGACAGTCGCGTCCACGTTGCACTGGTCGTTTTGGGCAAGAACCAAAATGCCTTTACCCCCTCTGTCATCTCTGTGCGGGGCGTCCTGTGCGTTTCCGCCCCCCCCCCGCCCCGAGCGCTCAGACGTGACGTGCGCGCAGGACCCGAGCGAACAGTGCTCGTATATCTCAAAAATAAGAATAAAGAGGCCATGTGCTTAGGGAGAAATACAGTAAACCCGAAAAAAGTCAGCAAGCGCGCCCCCCGCTTGTCCCTGCTATGAACGGGAACCAAGATGATCTGCGTTGCCTCTTCATATGAGTGATCTATTTTCCCCCCCAGCACACGTTTGTAAGAATAAAATTATCCGAATACGTGTCGTCATTTTCTGTCGGATGGAGAGGGCTTCAGCGCAGGAAAGACCGCGCTTGCAAGGGGAATCGTTCGGCTCCTTTCCCACCCCCCACCTCTGCCGTGCAGCCTTGCGCGACAGTGACCCACCGCAACGCTCTTAATAATCTGTACTTTTATCGACATGCTTTTAACACTTTATGGCCTGCCCGGCTCGTGTGAAACTTCCAGCAGGCAAGAGACTCCATTTTGAAAGGCTCTCACTGAGGGGAAGGACTGACTAAAGCCACTGACGGGCATGCCGAGCTCGCCAAAAAAAACCCGACGAGAGCCATCCGGTTTCCTGGTACATTTCCGAACTTATCGAGCTGGGGGGGTGGTGGTGTTGGCGCGGGGGGGGGG